GAAAAAAAAAAATGACAAATATATGGCACTTTCAATAAATGACCCTACAACATACAAAGACAGGAACTTAAAGAGGGCTCTAACTAAACAGACAGGTTTTAATGAAAAATCATAAAGTAGACCACACTTACATGATGTAAAGAAAACCTGGTAGACAAAATAAGAGGTTAAACAATACCTCATATATTATTATTATTATACAGTATTTATAAAGCGCCAATGGTTCGCTCAGCGCTGTACATTACAAAGGGGGACAGAACATGTGACAGAACAATACCAATACAATGCAAAACATGAGGAGATTGAGGGCCCTGCTCTTTGGAGCTTACAATCTAGGTACATAGAATAACATATCTTACTATACCAAAAAATTGCTGAAATTTGTCATTAGCTCTTGGTTCATTATGCACACAGGTTCAGCCCGAATTTTGCTTGTTCGTCCAATTGCCCAAATTTTAGCTCTTTTGGCACAGTCTGAACGTCATATATATACAATTATATATGACAGCTTCCTCTGTCAATGGTTGTGAAGGAAGCAGGAGGGGCCAACACCCACCACATCTTTACAGGCTGCATGCTTGGATAAGTGTCTGGTATGGAGTTTGGAGGCATCCCAAACCATTTTTTTCCATGGGGTCCCCCTTGACATCAATATTATACCTTCTATTTTTAGGGTGAATATCATGCTGTTTTTTTTGTGAGGTCCCCCATTAACATCTATATCAGACCCTTTTTTTGGATGAAGATCTGGCATAGATTAAGGGAATCCCCAATCACTTTGTTTACAAACAGAAATAAGTGGCTGGGGATGTAATTTACCAAAAATGTAAATGGAATTTTGTCATTGTAAATGTCAGTTTTGCTGAGTTTTGCATACATTGTGCAGATGTGCCACCTCACAGGTAGGATGAGGGCAATCCCCCTTGACGTATAATATTTAAAGAAATGTTGAATTTTTAATGTTGCCCTTCAAGCATTATTAACCATTTGCCCTCCTGTGGATTTACCCCCCCCCCCCCCCCCCCCCCCCTCCTGACCAGGTAATTTTTTTGCATTACGGTGCTGCATTATTTTAACTGACAATTGTACAGCCATGCAACGCTGTGCCCAAATGAAATTTACGTCCTTTTTTTCCCCACGAATTGAGCTTTCTTTCAGTGGTATTAGAATGCCTGTGCGGTTTTTATTTTTTTGCGCTATTAAAAAATAGGCCAACAATTTTGAGAAAAAAACAATATTTTTTTACTTTTTGCTATTAAACATGTCCAGTAAAAAAATTTAAAAAATCAAATTTCATAATAAATTTAGGCCAAAATGTATTCTGCTACATGTCTTTGCTAGAAAAAAATCCCAATGCTTGTAAATTAATTGGTTTACGTGAAAGTTATGACGTTTATAAATGGCGGTATAGATACTGGATTTTTTTTTTTTACTAGTAATGGCTGGGATCAGCGACTTATAGTGGGACTGCGGCGGACATTCTGACACTGGGTTGAACTGACTTGGTGTCACTGACATCCCCAGTGACAACAAAGCACTGAAACTGTACTAATGGAACTGGGCAAGAAGGGGTTAAAATAAGGGGTGATCTAAGGGTTAACTGTGTGCTGGGTGTGTTTTACTATGGGGTGGTGTCTGTGTGCGTCACTGTAAGCACACTGCTTTGGATGGCTGTGCTGTGCACAGCCATCCAAAGCAGTGTGCCCGAGCTGACAGGGAGGAGAACTGTTAGTAAACAAAACAGTCCTCCTCCCCGTCGGAGATGCTTGGTAATCACTGGGCGCCGGCGAGTAATCACCGTCCGGGACCCAGTGATTGACAGCCGTGGCCGTGAATGGTGGCGCGGGTAGGGACTGTGCACAGCTCATGTGCTCCCCCTACCCGGAACAGTAAAATCACGTATTTATACGTGATTTTGCGCACCCATGCCACCCTGTAGCAGCATTTCTGCTATAAGGTGGTCGGGAAGCGGTTAAAAGGGGAACACTTACCCAGATTTCACATATTGCATTGTTATTTTAAAAAAAGCACTGACACTGTACTAATGGTACTGGGCAGGAAGGGGTTAACATGAGGGGCGATCAAAGGGCTAACTGTGTGCTGAGAGTGTTTTACTATGGGGCGGTGTCTGTGTGCTTCGCTGTTAGCACACTGCTTTGCACAGCTGTGCTATGCACAGCCATGCAAAGCAGTGTGCCTGAGCTGACAGGGAGGAGAACTGTCCTCCTCCCCGTCAGAGATGCTCGGTAATCACCGGGCTCTGACTGGTAATCACCAGTGATTGACAGCCGCGGCCATGGTGATTTTGCGCACCCATGCCACCCTGTAGCAGTATTTCTGTTATAGAGCAGTCGGTAAGCGGTTAAAATCGCTGCTGTTCCCTGCCAGCAATTAATTTTTTTTTGTGTAATGTTCCCCATAGCAGTGCCCAGACCCCATGCCATTTGTTTTAACAATTCTTTCCCTGGCCCAAGAAATGTCCTTTACTGTCTTTTAACAATTGGCTACTATTGATTTCACTTGGGCTCAGATTTGGCACCCTAACTTCAGTTATGTTCGCTTAACCTGCCTTTAACCTAACCCAGGTGCATTCGTCTCATCCCTATTTGTCAGTCCACCCAAAAGTGATATTTGTGGTCAAATAATAGTGCTCTATCAGTATAGGAGTGTTTGTTGAACCTTTTGTCTTCATAATTGGAGGTCACTTGGCGCTTGGGTGCCCAGTACGGATGGGGTTCAGGTTCACCACTACCATGGGTTCAAGGTGAATTCTGTGCATTGAATATTTGTGGTCCAGGCAAATTTATGTGTTGATTCTAGTGGGAGAATTTATTTACCTCATACTATTGTCAGCAGATTTAGAAGGGTTATTAAAGCGGAGCTCCACCCAAAAGGGGAGGTTCCACTTTGAGCACTGGTCCCCTGCTCCCCATAACGAATTGGCACATTTGGGGAGTGGGCACCTGATTTTGACAGGTCCCTGCTCCCACTTCCTCTCCAACTGCCTAGGTGATCAAAATTGGAAGTTCTCCTCCCTCCCCCTCTCTCCCCTGCAGTCTTCTGGGACACAAAACAGGGCCCAGAAGACTGCTTGACCATTCACAGCATTTAGGAATGTTATCATTTTATTAGTGTTTTAAGGCCTCTTGCACACAATACTCCTGTCTGAGCATCTACTTTTTTGGATGTAATTTCAGGCTTTTTTTTTACGTGTTTGCTCATTGTTGCGCACATTTTCTTCCTGCTCTTGAGAGTGGTGTGTTTAGCTATGTGCAGCAGTTTCCAGAGGTTTCTTTTCTTTGGATATGGAACCCATAGATAATTTCATGATTGCAGTTAACCTGCTGCTCCTGGTGAGGAGGAGAAGACAGCAGAGGGATTTGGAAGAAAATCGGAGGCGCCATCGTTGTTACTGGGCACATCTGTTGATGTCACAACGTAATGGTAAAGTCGTGAGTGGTGGATTGGGGGAAGGAAATATTACAAGCTTGGTTTTGGAAGGATTGAGTTTAATGTAGTGGTGTGACATCCATGCTGATATGTCGCTTAGTAGATTTGTGATACGAGAGGAAATTTAGGGGGTGAGCTGGGGAGTGGAGAGATAGATCTGGGTGTCATCAGCATAGAGGTGGTAATGGAAGCCATGAGAGGCTAACAGTTGGCCCAGGGAGGAGGTGTAGAGAGAGAAAAGGAGAGGCCCAAGGACAAAACCTTGGGGTACCCCAACAGAAAGAGGGAGAGGAGCGGAGGAGGAGGAGTTGTATGTTACACTGAAAGTGAGCTGAGAAAGGTAAGAGGAGAACGAGGAGAGAGCGGAGTCATGGAGGCCAATGGAGTGGAGTTTACTGAGGAAGAGCAGGTGGTTGATTGTGTCAAAGGCAGCAGAAAGGTCAAGGAGTATGAGTATGGAGTAATGGCCATTGGTTTTAGCAGTTAGGTCGTTAGTGAGTTTTAGTAGGGCAGTTTCAGTGGATTGTTGTGGGCGGAAGCAAGACTGTAGAGCAGCGGTTCTCAACCTGTGGGTCGCGACCCCTTTGGGGGTTGAACGACCCTTTCACAGGGGTCGCCTAAGACCATCGGACAACACATATTTCCAATGTGTAAAGAGCCGCTACTGTGTTGAAAGCCGCTACTGTGTAGAAAGCAGCTACTGTGTAGAAAGCAGCAGTATTGGAGGTCAAACGACACTTCATGAATTATAATTACTGGGTAAATCATTTTATGGTTGGGGGTCACCACAACATGAGGAACTGTATTAAGGGGTCGCGGCATTAGGAAGGTTGAGAACCACTGCTGTAGAGGATCAAGAAGGTTGTTGTCGATGAGGTAGCAGTTCATACGGTTGTAAACAAGGTGCTTGAGAAGCTTGGAGGCAAACGGGAGCAGGGAGATGGGTTAAGTTATTCAAACAGGTTGGGTCCAGCGAGGGTTTTTCGAGTATGGGGGTAACCAGTGCATGTTTGAGCGGGGAGGGAAAAGTGCCCATAGAGAGTGAGAGGTTGAAGATGTGGGTTAGAGAGTTTAGGATAGATCAGGAAGGAGGCTGCAACAGTTGTGAGGGGACAGAGTCTAGGGGACAGGTGGTGAAGTGGGCCTTGGAAAGGAGTTCGGTAACTTCCTCGGTGGTATCATGGTCGAGGGAGGAGAATGTTGAGTTGTGGTATTGGACCTGGTATGTTGGTTGGAGGAGGAAGCTTGACACTGGAGATCACATCATGAATTGTGTCGATCTTGTTCTTGAAATGACTGGCAATCTCCTGGCAGTAAGTAAGTTGGTAGGTGGAGGCAGTAGGGGGTGGAGTAAGGAATTAAGGGTAGAAAAGAGTTGATGAGGATTGGATGAGAGGGTCTTGATGAGAGAGTTGTAGTAGGTTTGCTTAGCAGCATGGAGGCTGGAGTTGTATTTGAGAAGAGCGGATTTGTAGAGAATAAAGTCTTTCAGAGTGTCAGGGCTCCGGGAATGACCAGAGGTGTGTGGACCGACACAGGGAAACACAGACTTCAGGTATAGCGTGTAAACAAGATAATTTATTAAGGACAACACAAACCTAAACGCAGTGCAAGACTAAACATGAACACAGTGCAAACAAACAAAACCTCCAACAGATAACAATAAGAACAATACTAAACGTAGTCGGGCAGGCCGGGTCGGTAGCAAACGGGCAAGCAAGGTACAAGGAGCAGGCGGAAGAGTAGTCAGGAATAGCCGAGGTCGGTACAGGCAGAGTTCGTGCAGAGTCAGGATTCAAGCAGGCAGGATCAGGATACAGGGGCCAAGGGAAACTATACACCAAGGCCCTCACTGCAGGCCTGGCTACTCCTTAAATACACCTCCTGCAATCAGCCTCAGGTGATGACTTGATTGCAGGAGTGAGCTTCTGGCTGCTGAGAGCACCCGCTGGCCAGCCCTGGTACTGCAGCCCACACGGCAGGTGAGTCCTACCACCAGTGGTGAGTCCATTCCTGACACAGGGATTTAGTTTTTACGCCATGCTCGCTCAAGAGTGCGGCTTCGTCTCTTGAGACTTCTGGTGTCATCTGTTTGCCAGGGTTGTGACAGGCGAGGACTGGTTCTGCGTGTAGAGAGAGGAGCGTGTAGAGAGAGGAGCAAGAGCTTCCAGGGAGGATGATAGATAGTTGTTGTAGGCAGATGTTACCAGGTCTGGGCAGGACAGGGGTGACATTTTATCATAGAGGTGCTCAGTAGCAGAGTGAAGATGGTCAGAGCTGAGGTGGTGGATGGTGGAGTGTGCTTTCAAAGTACTCATGTCTGCCATGCAGCTGCATGTGGAGAATGCCATCAAGGTAGTATTAGCTTGCTGTGTACTCCACAATTTTGTGATTGAAAAAGAAAACATATCACCAGACACAGCACCTCTTTCCACACAGCAACAAGGGTGTGCAGTTTGTGGGCTTGTGACCCCCAACGCATGTATTGCACATAAGACAGGCCTTTGCAGATTTCTTTTTGTCAGAGGAAGGACAACTTGCTTGGCAGAATGATCACATTTGACTGGTAAAGGTAAAGACATTTACACATATGTCTTTACCTTGTGGTGGCAGTTTCTATACCTGTATGAAAAATTCACAAATAGAAATAAAAATGAGGAGTTTTCATGTATAGTTGTCATCTTGTCATCTCTGAAGTGTTTTTCTTCCATGCAGTTGTGTGAACAAACACAGGTGAACATGTAAATAACAAGTGTTTGGTATGTACAAGCATATTCTAGATCAAGAGATTTCGGATGTGTGAACTGTTGGTTAATGCTCTGAATCAGAGGTCTCCAAACTGTGGCCTGAGTGCCAGATTGTGGCCCTTGGGACACTATTCCTCCAACTGACAGCAATAAGGCAACATTCATCCTAATGAATGGCACTATTTCTCCTACTGGCACCATCGATGGGCCACTATTCCTCCCATTGACACTGTATTCCTCCCATTGATACCAACTATGGGGCACTATTTCTCCCATCGATACCAACCATGGGGCACTATTCCTCCCACTGATACCAATTATGGGGCACTATTCCTCCAATCGATACCAACTGTGGGACGCTATACTTTCTGCTAAAACCAAAAAAGGATCACTATTCCTCTGGTTAAAACCAATGATGGGGCATCTGTTGTTCATGCCGATACATTTTCTATTCACACTAGCCACAGTCCAGCCCCCCAAAGACCCGAAGAAGCCTTGGTTTACAAAGTTTGAAAACCACATTATAGCAAGAATTGGACATATGAAAATAAAAAATATATTCAATAGACAGAAACGGAAGACAGAAGTTTACATTTCTTTTTATTACAAACTCAGCAACCATAAAAGCTGTTGCAGGACACTTTTTTTCAGTGCAGCGTGCTGCAATGCAGTGGATTTCATTGCAAGTTGCTGAGATGAATAAAGATAGATAAAATGTCAGTTTCCAACATTTTAATGAAGTTTAAAAGAAAAAAAGTGCAATGCATCATCTACAATGCACCACTACTGCTTCCTTCAATGCTGCAGTGAACAAGGCCTAAAAAGGAAAAGGGACTCCTGTCACCTAATATTGACAGCAACAGAACTCTGCACCTGCACACCTATTCATCTCAGACTCTAATACTAGGACAATAACCCAAAGGTTGTGAATAATAGGTGAAATACACTGCTCAAAAAAATTAAAGTAACCCTCTTTAATCAGAGTATAGCATCAAGTCAATTAAACTCCTGGGATATTGATCTGGTCAGTTACGTAGCAGAGGGGGTTGTTAATCAGTTTTAGCTACTTTGGTGTTAATGAAATTAACAACAGGTGCACTAGATGGACAACAATGAGACGACCCCCAAAACAGGAATGGTTTTACAGGTGGAGGCCACTGCCATTTTTTTCCCTACTACTCTTCTTTTCTAGCTGTTTTTCACTAGCTTTGCATTTGCCTAGGGTCAGTGTCACTACTGGTAGCATGAGGTGATACCTGGACCCTACAGAGGTTGCACAGGCAGTCCAACTCCTCCAGGATGGCACATCAATACGTGTCCATTGCCAGAATGTTTGCTGTGTCTCCCAGCACAGTCTTAAGAGTATGGACAAGATTCCAGGAGACAGGCAGTTACTCTAGGAGAGCTGGACAGGGCCATTGAAGGTCCTTAACCCATCAGCAGGACCGGTATCTACTCCTTTGTGCAAGGAGGAACAGGAAGAGCACTGCCAGAGCCCTACAAAATGACCTCCAGCAGACCACTGGTGTGCATGTCTCTGACCAAACAATCAGAAACAGACTTCATAAGGGTGGCCTGAGGGCCTGACATCCTCTAGTGGGCCCTCTACTCACTGCCTGGCACCATAGAGGTTGATTCGCATTTGCCATTGAACACCAGAATCGGCAGGTCCTCCACTGGCGCCCTGTGCTTTTCACAAATAAAAACAGGTTCACCCTGAGCACAGTGACAGAGGGTCTGGATAAGTTGTGGATAACATTATGCTGCCTGTAACATTGTTCAGCATGACTGTTTTGGTGGTGGGTCAGTGATGGTCTAGGGAAGCATAGCCATGGAGAGATGCACAGACCTCTACAGGCTAGACAATGGCACCCTGGCTTCCATTAGGTACCGGGATGAAATCCTTGGATCCATTGTCAGACCGTACACTAGTGCAGTGGATCTTGGGTTCCACCTGGTGCATGACAATGCCTGGCCTCATGTGGCAAGAGTATGCAGGCAGTTCCTGGAGGATGAAGGAATTGATACCATTGAATGCCCCCCCCCCACTCTCGCCTCACCTAAATCCAATAGAATACCTCTGGAATATTATGTTTCAGTCTATCTGATGCCATCAGGAGCTCATTGATGCCCTGGTCCATATCTGCAAGGAAATACCCTAGGACACCATCTGTCGTCTCATTAGGAGCATGCCCTGATGTTGCCAGCAATGCATACAAGCACGAAGGGCCATACAACTGAGTAGCATTTTGAGTTGCTGCAATGAAATTTCAGTAAAATGGACTACCCTGCTGCATCATTTTTGCACTTTGATTTTCGGGGTGTCTTTGAATTCAGTCCTCTGTAGGTTGATCATTTTCATTTCCATCAAACGATGGAGCATCCTTATGTTCCTAACACATTATCCCATCCATATCAGTATAGATATCCAGCATGATATTTTTCCCCATTGAAATCTGCTGTGTTTTCAAAGTGTTCCTTTAATTTTTTTGAGCAGTGTATTTTGCGGCTGCAGCAAAATGAAATGAAGCAGACAGAAAGGGGAGAAATCTAGGTCAGGGCCTGAGCTAGTGTCTGTAGAGCAGAATATAGTTCCTGCCAAGTCAGGCACCAGTCCAGACCGAAGGCTCTCGGCACAGTCTAGATCCTCAATTGGGTAAAGCAGAACTGCAGGTACAGACTGTGCCAGAGTGACAACATAACCTTTCCAGCTGCTGAGGATTATGGGACAGACCTAGGTACTCAGACTTAGGTGCAAATGCAGACCAATAGTCATGTGAGCATCAGAACCAGATAACAGATCAAAAAGTGGCCTAGTCTGATTTCTGACTTCTGAATTCAAATTCAACAACATCGAGTTTCGTTAACTTGTCCTCCAAATCCTCCACATCTCAATCCAATCAAGCATAAAAAATTATGTCATGCTTTAACATTTTTGTCAAAACCAAATAATGTTCAAATTGCAAACTACAAATTTTGGTACACAGGATACTGGGACCAACCAGATGCATCAGGGCTCTGAGAATGGTCCATGGGTACTTGTGAGGTTGGCACTGGATGGTGGAGGGCTGTAGTAGGATATGATGGAGTGTGGTAGGTAGGTTGCTGGTTACATTGGGGGTAGGTTGAGCAGACATGGAAAGTAGGTGAAGATAAGCTGAGCCAGGGCCTGGTGGGTCTGCGATCAATGACATCCGCAGAGGTGGAACATGTATCCTATCAAATATCACTCACAATATTCAGTGATTCTAGTATAAATATATAAAGTGCATCCAAATAAATGCTCATAAAGTGCAATTCCTTATGTGTAAAGTGCTTTTCCAAATCACTTGATGTATACACTCAAATAAATAAATAAATACATAAATGTCCACAAAGTGGAAACTTGGTGCTTCTTTACAGATGTACAATATATATAACTTTTCTTCTTTCATCTATGTGCAAATGAAAGTGCTTCATGCTAAACCGCATACAGCTTCAACAATTCTAAGTACTGCTCCACGTGCTCAACTTCACCACTGTGGAACGCTACCACAGCTGAAAACTCACCAGACAGCCATGACCTTCTCACGTCTATATGAGCTTCTTTTTGTATAGGTTCACCACTTTGGTATACCACTTCCAGGATTTCTCTTTTTTTTATTTTTTATTTAAATATTTATTGATTTTCATATAAATAAATGATACAATCTTACTCTTTAAAAAAACATAAGTACAGTACAATTATATCGCCTTTTCTACGCCCCCCCACCTCCCATCTACCACCCTCCCCCCAACCCACCTTCCCCTCCACTCTGCGTTTTCCTAATCCTTTCTGGAGATCCACATCCTCCAAAGAGAAGAGAAAGGTATACTCATATTATTTTATATTATTCCCCCATACATTCTATATTTAACTTTGACTTTTTGAATTTTTAAATTCCTCCCATTTATTCCATCTTATATAATATCTCTCCATGTTATCTTCATTCATATGGAAAAGTTCCTCCATCTTAGATATTTGATCCACCCTATCAACCGAGTCCTCTATTTTCGGCACCTCCTGTCTCCGCCAGAACTTGGGTATCAAGCCCTTAGCTGCATTCAAATAATACAATATACCAGAATTCTTATACTTT